ACAGAGTCGGTGATATTGAGGCTCCACACAAACTATTTTTGTTCTGAATTCCATGCTTTAGTCACCTTCGGTGAATGCTTAATCTGGTAGCATTTTTGGCAGCAATGAAGGGTCTCCAAACTTTAAATTAGTGTTGCTCTGAAGTGAAGACCTCGAAATACTGGCGTGACTCTTATATTGTAATTGCGTGTAAGTGCTCCTATTTTATCGTAAGCACAAGTTGCCCGAAAAGGGAGTTAAACACCGTGTCAGGAAGTGCCAAACTGGTTGCTTCTGCGAGTGAAGTTGTGCAGTGTGCGCAAGGCTATCAAGATTGACCATAGGTGCCTCGTGGAAAAGGTGATTGCAAAAAGTGCGACGTGCGGTCAGTTAGCCTTTTCGTGAATTACACTTTGCAACTTTTGGAATCAACGCTTTTAACTCTGTACATTCTGTGTCTTCGCCAACGCATGCATAGTCTAGCTTACTTCGAAGACCAAACTTTTACCTGAAGTTTCCTCTGGAGGCTAGTTTGCAGGTGGGTGTACCTCCAAAGGGATTGGTGGAGTTTAGCCAAGGGCTTGTTTGTGTAGTATCCACTACAAACTACTTACCATACCATACTTACCGTTAGAAGTCACTGAGTTTGTCAATACAGGATCAGATTTGACGTGTTAACGCAAACAAAACTTAAATGATCCAAAATAATCTGTTTCTACTTATTCCCCGGTAAGTAGCATATACAGGTTTAACAAATTTGTCCATGAATTGTCGAACATAGCTATATTTGGCCTCCATCCAATATTCAGGCACAAATCTAAGGAAGTAAATTTATAAGTGTTACAGAAAATGAGCTTTCATTTGGTAATTCAATTCATTTAAAACCAGAAAACTTTGATTTTTTGGGAAACGACAAATCATTAATTAGAAATAATAAATTTATGTTAAATATATAATAAATAAAATAAATACACCTATGTCAGACAGCGCTCATTTATTTATTAATCTATATTTGTGCTTTCATTTTCTTTTTTGAGATATTCATATCTATTAATCTCAGGGGATTGCATCTCAATTGAGAGGAGTTAATTCATCCCTGAATTGAGAAGAACTTTCAATTTTACTCCCAAAGTTCAAGAAAAAACTTAGTCGGATAAAAACCTCTCCTTTGGGAAACACACTTTCTGTCCTCCTTCTTCATGACCAAGATTGGCAATTGTGACCTCCTATTCACATTTTAGTGGAAACGGACCTATGACGTGGGACACAACCATTTGAGATTATCTGTTTACAGACTTGGAACTTAGTAATACCATGAACTTTCTGGTATGATAACCACGTAAGGTCTTTGGTCGTTGATTGGTAGAGAGATCTCTACTTTCGTCATGCTAAAGTTGTGATCCCCACAACATCGATGTCTATGCAGAGTTTAGCGTCAACCTCGTGACCTCTATTCCATGTCTTTGAGGGTTATTACCTACTCTTTTCCAGTTTCAGTATTGAGATTCTTGCGTAAAAATAACTTTATCTAAATAGAGTTGACATGACGTTGTTAAATAGAAGCCATACTTATTCTGTGTATCCTGCAATTTCTAATGAGCTCCATTCTCCGTTAAATCAAAGTAAAATCACAAAGCTGAAGTGAGAAATTGAGTTCAGTGTGATTTCTTCAGTTCTTTGTTTAAAGTATGTATTTTAAAATGACTTCGTGTCTCGTTCTAAAGAGAGCTTTTTTAAATCCTTTTGGTGCCATGGCATTACGTTTACCAAAATTGGCAGCTTTAATGCTATTTTTGCTTTAATGTTGTGACAATCATACCATTGAGAATTTATTCAGCACAATAAACGTAATGATCACATAAATTAATTCAAGCCGAGGGAATGAGAGAAGCCCATTTGAGCGCAAATTTGGTGAAAGTATCATTTGCTGATCATCTAAATTAGGCCGAGTCTATTTTCACCCTTCCACAAAGAAGACTGCATATTTATTGCACTGAGGTTACCGCGTTCTAGAAATATCGATTAGTGCATCAGGCTGTAGTGCAGTCGAAATGACCTTTCTTTGAAATTAAAATGCCATCAATGTTACCACGTCATCACATTAAATTTCATTGCATTTTTACGTTGGTTTGGCCTGAATATCCCAATCACGTCCTTTTAAGCCATGTCATCCACTCGAAATGGCACAATAAGGTCAGTATTTAAGTAGGAAATGTCTGCCCTTAACACGCATTACATTTGGGTGACACGAATTTGGAGGGCGGACACAGTCCGTTCATTTTCAGTTGCCTATAATGTTCGGTTTTGGTGTTAGATCGGTGAATGCTTCACACAAAAGATTGAGAATCGGACAAATGTGTTCAATTGCATAATCATACCCACTAACCAGCTACATTACCGTAAGTGCTATAAAACTTTTAGGTTTACTAAGGCTTGTTTAAGTGTTTATACGCTTGTTGTCTGCTTCAGACTACCTGTGCGAAAGTAGGTCACATTAGGATGTGAGACAAAAATTTGTAGAGTGTACGGCACTGACATGACTGAACATAAAAATCTCGTGTTTTTCTCAGGCAGATTCGAAGGTGTGGTCGTGTTAGTTGTATGGAGCAGGTTCTTTCGTGAGTAAAGTGAACTCTCACCCAACCGCCAATCAATAATCCCTGCATTTTCTGACAAAACCTTCATTGTATTTTAATGACTATGGTCTGTGACAGACAGCCCATATAAGCGTGTTACATGCCATTAGTCTATTTCCCCTATGGCTTCACGGGGATCCATTCCAAGCTAGTAGTTCTTACTGAGCATTTATTTATTTATTTAAAATGGCAGGCGTTTTGATAGTTATCATTAGCCCATTAGAAGCGTTTTGATGGTTATCATTAGCCCTTTATTTGACTTCTGGTGGCTTCACAGAGGGGAGGAACATCAAAGTGAGAAAAATTCAAGAGGGGGAACTCACAGATGAGGGAGGAACATCAAAGTGAGAAGAATTCGGGAGGGGGGAAAAGAAGAGTGATTCACAGATGGAGGAACATCAAAGTGAGAAGAATTCAGGAGGAGGAATAGCAGTAAAAGAAGAGACAGACACAAAGGCTCAGAAAGGGTAAGATGAGTACTGTAGTAGGGGTCGAATATGACATACAGTGAGGTGATGATACCGTTAAAGTAAGATGAGTACTTTGAAAGGGGTCGAATATGACATACAGTGTGGGTGATGGATACTGTAAAAGTGGTAGAATACGGCATTCAGTGGGGTTAGTACTGTGGTAGGGGTCGAATATGACATACAGTGGGGTGGTGGCGTACTGTGGAAGGGGTCGAATATGACATACAGTGGGGTGAGCTACTGTGGAAATAGTCAGAAGTCAACTGCCGATTAATAGACTTTTTGATTTTCAGTCAGAAGTCAACTGCCGGTTTATAGACTTTTTTGCCGTTTGAGTAGTCAGAAGTCAACTGCCGGTTAATAGACTTTTTTGTGAAGTGAGAAGTCAACTGCCAGTTAATAGACCTTTTTGCGTTGAAGTCAGAAGTCAACTGCCGGTTAATAGAATTTTTTTGCCGATAGTGAGAAGTCAACTGCCGGTTTATAGACTTTTTTGCCGCTTTGAAGTCAGAAGTCAACTGCCGAATAATAGACTTTTTTAAGAAGTCAACTGCCAGTTAATAGACTTTTTTTGCCGTATGGCCGTATGATTATACGTTGCCCAGGGTGCACCACGTGGAGGTAAGTCTATTGACGTTGCCCAGGGTGCACCACGTGGAGGTAAGTCTATCCCACACCCCTTCTTACTGAGCATAAATCAAGGATTATTCGTGTAGCAAATTACAAATTATAAGCTTAAATCGATTGAAAATAGTCCAGTTCATTTACAGAGAAATTGGAGTCTGCGATAGACTTACCCGCACGTGGTGAATCCTGGGCAACGTGTATTCATGCGCAAAATGTCTACAAACCGACAGTTGACTTCTGACTCCACTCTATGTCATATTCGATCACTTCCAGAGTACTCACCGTACCCTACTCTCTGTATTTGTGTCTGTCTGTCTATTGTGCATTTGTAAATCATTCTACTGTTCCCCCTCTCGACTTTGTTTCATTTTGATGTTCCTCCCTCTGTCAGCAAAATGGCTAATGTTAACTATCAAAGCGCCTGCCATTTGAAATAACTGAGTGAATTTACAGGAAAAGTTTATAAAAGTAGCAGTATTCTTAAATAAACGCACCTTTTTAAACCGGCTCAGCTAGGCTTGGAGATACCTCATCCATATGGGCTGATCACGAGAAAAGAGATCAAGCAGCTGAACGAGTATTGAGGTTGACCAGCGCTCTAGTCGACGCCAAAAGAGGGAGGGAAAGAGAATTGAGAAGAAAGAAATTAACAATTATGGCTGTTTTGTATAAGTCTGCTTTCTACTTCTCCTAAATACCTATTGACTTAAAAATACTTATAGGATGAGGGAATGAGTGGCATATATCTCCTATCTGTTCGAAATCGCAATTCTTCATTCTCAGAGGAGTCACCAGAGCTAGACCTTCACATATCACGACTCTGCGAGATGGTGTGAAATTAGGCGAAGATCCTGTTAATAATCAGGCTCAACGCCAAGTTACCCTGACGCTCATTCAAAAGAGTTGCATTCCGACCACCCTATGATAGCACATTCCAGCACTTCTTTCTTGAACTCCTTAAATCCGAAAAGTTGATTAGACCATTTAATGGATTAAATCTGAGTCGTGATATATATATTTGTGTAGTTAATCGTTCAGCCTTAACGATCCATCTCAGATCCTCTCCCTACCCCCCCCCCCCCCCCCCCCACCCCACCCCACCCCAAAAAAGACCCAATTAAGCTGGTCTATAAATATAATTCTTTATACATGCAGAAAGGTTGGGGGTAGGGTTGAGGGAAGGAAGGAAGAGGAAAGGCAATTTTATAAACTTTATCAGGAAATAGTAATTAATCGCCGTCGTTATTTTATGAAAGATTTTCACAGCCAATGGTTCAAGTGCTCATCTCTACGCTTCCAAATGCAATTCCTTTTCGTGTTTTTTTGCTTTCTTCCATTGGATTGTATCCCAACGCCAGTGTTGAGCCGTGGCCTCCACATCACAGGGAGCCATGAAGACTTTCATGGTAGCAACGTCAGCTTCCACACAGGTGCCAGAAGGAACATGTTTAATCATAACAGGGTTTGTGTCCACACCCTGCAACCAACGCAGAGTAAAGTGCTGGTTACCCCTTTGACCGTGACAGGCATACTGATTGATTGGAGAGCCACGACTTGTCCTTGGCACGTCCCAACAGTCATTCCTGGGGAAAAAAGAGAACAAAAGATTCTAGAATAGTAGCACTGACCGCTGGATAGATCAATACCGTTTAAAATAGATACTATCCCCAATAGAAGAGAGAAGGTTCTCTGGCTAGCCGAATTATGTAAAAATTGCATCAATAGGAGGCTCCTCTACTGTCTATGCGCTTAGTCTATGCCTCACAGACTAACACCAGTGAGTGTGAATATGCAAATGCAACTCTCTCTCTCAGCTATTGTTGTAAAAAACATCCTGCAGTAAATAAGTCGGAGAACTTGCGAGCATTATAAACGCTTTAATTGGAAGATGTGGAAAAGTTTCCAACTTTTCAAGTAACAAAGAAGATTACAAAGGTAGCTTTATTTTAAGCACTGGACACTACACCCTATAAACCCAACGGTAGAGTTCATATGCTAAACAAAGCCGCTTAAAGTATTCACCTGCTGTCAAAAAAATAATTGTCTCAAAAGGTTGTCGTGGGCTTCGATACTCAGCAAGTTAAGAACATCTAATTACTTGAAGTCGTCGCCTACGTTGCCTAGTAAATGTAAATAAGACAAGAGCGTACTTGGGTGTGAAGTTGAACAATCCAAGCCGTCAATTGAATTAGCATAAAGAGCTGGGAGTGGGGAATTGGTAAATTACGTAGATGTTTCGTCGGATCAATCATAAGTCCCTCATCAAAAAGTCGAATACACCCAAAAGTGATTATCCCAATCCCAAACACCCCGTCCCCCCTACAGACACCCCAATTTACTGACTCCTTCAGTCAATGAGATGACATTATCAGCTCATGATTTCGTGACAAATATATGCTTAATGCCTACAATGGTTGATTAATGCTCAAAAACAAACTCCACATACACACAAAATGCGTTACAAAAAAGTCAATATAAAGTATGAAACCCAGTGCGGTAAATATTTTAACACTAATCGAGTTATAATAATTAATCAAATCAGCTTACGTATCCTTGAGAGCAACATCTTCATGCCAAGTAAGCTCGTACTCAGAATTGGTTTCGGAGCAATGTGCCAAGGCCATTTCGGAATGAGAGGTAGTGATACAGTAAGACATATCCGAAGCCTTGTGGATCCTACCAGTAGCACCAGGCATTGGGACAATAGGAGGATAGTATTTGCGCAAATCGAATGCAATATTCTCCATGAACCAATGAAAGGATTTACAGTGGAGCTTATCACGGAGGTCCCTCTGTGCGGACAAATTTCCTGGGTCGACATTTTGTAGGTGGGGTCGTCGTTGATAGATATACTTAGTGTATTCGTCCATCCAAACATCCATAAGGCGTCTACCAAAAGATGGAATCATGATTAGGACCTTATAGGAGGGAGCAACTACTCGTCAGAACGAATAATTGCGATGGTTAATACTGAGTAATGAAGCTCTAGTTGAACACCAATTTCCCATTCAAAGGTTCTACAAAATGAGCGAAACGAAACTAAGACTCTGCTTCAATTGATTTGGGAACAATTCAATTTCAGTAGAATGAATGCCGATAGTTGTAGAATAAAATTGGCATTTTTCTATACTCGTCCCTAAGCACTAAACACTCCGCAGGTTAAAAAGTTACTCAAATTTGAAAGCAAATAAAACTTAACTTTGTCAGTGAACTTTAAAGTCGACAATAAAAACGAAAAAGGTCTCTTTCGAAGAATCATCTTCCAGCTTTTTGCACCGGTAGCTTATTCATACTTCTGAGGAATCAGAGGTCTAGAGGATGATACTTGCCAGTGAGGGAACAGCCAATTGAACTGGTTAAGTCTGATTACCTTCTCCCATTTTCTATAATGAGCTCTTAAAATTAAGAGGAGAACCTTTACCCTATCGTATTTGCAATTTTGTCACCTTCAAATGGTAATTAATACCGTACAAATGACCCGATCAAACAAAAGAAGGGACTTCTTTCAAAATGGAGTTGACTCATAAGTTCTTATTGAATAAAAGAATGAAGCACTAACCTGTAGTTGCGACTTAAAAAGTCTCCTCTAAGAACAGATGGAAAGTTAGCCTTTCCACGATAAATATGTCCGATTCTTGAGCAAGGAGTGTCTACCATGTTCCCACCACACATCCAAATCTTGAATGATATCTCATACTGCTCACATCCCCAAATCTCCAGACCAGGGTCATATCCACCCAATTCCCAAAACCACTTCGCACTGATCGCAAAAAGACCTCCCGCCATTACAGGGCTATCAAAATTTTCCGCCGGGTGTTCGGCATCTTCAGGCAATCTAGGGAGGCGCTTGTAATTAAGATTCCAATCAAACGCTCCACGTCGACCATCATCTTGAGCGCGATATTCAAAAGTGTCATGGTCGATAACATCAATGAATGGGCACACAACAGTTCGATAATTCCTCACAATAGGATCAAGAAGAGGAGGCAACCAGTTGGTACCAGCTTCTACATGAGAATCAAGGAAAACAAGCACATCTCCAACAGCGATTTTGGCGCCGGTCAAACGAGCTGTAATAAGACCCGTTCGCTCTTTATGGTGGAGGACTTTTACGTACCCAGCAGGCCAAGCTGTTCTCGAATAATTATCCAATTTATCTTTGAGGAATTCTTTTTCACTTCCGTCATCAACTAGAATTATTTCCTTGATGATACCAGGAGGGGCGCGCTTAGTTACAGTAACAATAGATCTCAACAACGTAGTCCAATGCTCTTGAAAGACAGGTATAATAACAGACACAGATGGAAGATTGGCAGAATATCGTTTGGAGCTACATTGTTCATGACGTAGATCAGGAATAGCTCGATCAAGAGCTATTTTGTCACTAACCACTTGACAGAATCCATTTTCGGTAAAAACGCGTCGGGAATGTTCTTTTTCTTCGCCTTCGAGATAAACAGGGGCACCTTGTTCTCCAGGACCCCGACGAAGACTATCCTGTTCCATGAGTTTGTAGTCATGATAATCTACCAGACCACCTTTGGATGTTTTAAATTGAGCATCTTCACCATAAGGATTTAAAGCAGAAAAGTTTATAAATATGTAAAGGAAGCTGATAAATCCTATACACATAAGAAGTCGGAACAAAGACTGCAACTTAAGACGCATCCCTAACTAAACATACAATAGCCGTTTGAAGCACGCACGGACCCACACGTCCTTTATAAATACGCTTAAATAACAACTAATTGCATTTTTAAGCCAAACTCTATAAGCACCAGGTCAAAGTATATATTTATTTAGTTAATATTACTTGAATTAAAATTTACAGAAATATCTTAATCTGGGTTCTTTTATATTACGAGCTACTAATGGTGCTGTTTCATTTTTAATTCTGCATAATCTATTTGCAATCTTCTTTTATCTATCTTTAATAAGTATTTATATACATGCTAAAAATATTTAATAACTCCTAATAAAATAGATTTAAGAGGAGCTTGTTGCCTCTAAGTTTGGTTGATGAATAATGATTATTAATTTTATATTAGATTATATATATAAGGGACAGACGGACACAAAGGCAGAGAAAATGTAAGGTGAGTACTGTAGAAGTGGTAAAAATATGACATAGTATCGGATCATAGAAGTTAGAAGTCAGAAGTCAACAGCCGGCTAATAGACTTTTCTCTCCTATGAGTATACGTTGCCCAGGGTGCACCACGTGGAGGTAAGTCTATCGCACACTCCCAATTGGCATTATTGAATGTGAGTAAAGAGATAGGCAATATATCTGCATAAATTTAAAATGAGAATAACTAAAATAGCGGTGATCTATTGACTTCAATAGAGAGCATTACATAATGTTGAAAATATAACCTTGAGATGTGACGTTAGGGTGGAAAAAGAAAAACTACTACTACTACTTACTTACTTAAATATCATCAGAATTGGAAAGATATTTCGCGCAATTTTGCGAACGTGCGCACGTGTTTGCATCAATTAAGGGAATAATTGATTAAGCAATAATGCGATCGATAGACACTAATTGTCAACATGTAAACTTCATAAATTCGCTGACTTTGCTGTGAAATGTTGTCTTTTCCAACTGGTTCTCTCCATGCGTATTTGCTTCTACTTCGAGAGTTGAAGCTATTTAACGCTCCCTTCCACGAATCATTGTCCTACTTGAAGCATACCAACCCACACTTATACTACCGTTTCCTTTCTTACTTTCAGAATGCGACAAGTCTTTCCGACTTAAGAATGCCCCTTGAGAAGCCTTTTTCCGTCTTCGTCCACTTACCCAGAGACATTCCAAATCTTGCTTGGTCTTTTCCAAAGAGAACACCTTCACACCTCCATGGTATCTCTCTTTCTCTCTTTATTTCCTTCATTTTTTCATTCATTCTTTCTTTGTTCCACCTCTTTTTTATTCTCTTATCTTCCATCTCTGCTTTCCTCGTGCCTCCCATTTTCAAATTTACTTATATATGTCGAAGGTGGGAAACCGATCTACAAGGTACGAATTGCAGTATCCCACATGTATTGGGTATTTCCATCTAACTCGTGGTTATGCTTTAGATAGTGTGTTTAGCAGTGAATGGGTGGAGTGTTCAATGATTCAGGTCTCATCTACCAGAGCTTTCGTTTTATTTTTTTAAGATCAAACGTATTATGCACTACTTGGAGCATAAATCACTACAGGAGATTTATTTCAACTTGCCTTTAATATGCATATTCTCTTTACAATCTCCTATAAGATATTGTGCCCTCGTACTGTTTTATCGTATTTAATTTTAGAATTTTTAGGGATTGGATAGTTGAAATCGAACTATTGGACAGAACACTGATGAGGCAGTGTGGGTAGACAGCGTCTGATTGTGAAGATGAGTTAGTGTTTATGTCTTTTGATTCTCCCAATGTGGAGCTGAATTGTGGTGAGGCACCTTTCTCCTCACACTTGACTCAGGTCTTGTACAGTTGGGTCGATTGTTTCAGTGGAGAACCATGTCCTTCCTCAAAGTCCTGAATTGGGGTTGGAACTGGAGATTCTTGATAGAAACCTTATTCATCAGTTGGTTCAGTTTGTTGACAAATTAAGTTGCTGATTTAGTTGCTAATTGACTGAGAGAATTTTGCCACTTTCATGTTTTGGTGAGTGAATTACAAGAGCTGTTAATAAGGTTTACAAATGTAATGAAAGTAGAAGGAGACATGTGCAATTAATTCCTAGATGTCAAATCAAGTCTGAAAGTCCGGACAGACTTGTGAGAGAGGAGGGGGGAGAGAGTTGTGAATAGTAGCTCTCGTTAAACATTACATTTGAATACCTGGAAGCATAATTGTGAAATGAGGTTTGCTAAAGTAGTCTCTGAGGTGACAACTAGCCTTGTCAACTTCATTTCAGATGTAAGTGAGACTGAGAAGACAGTTGAGTCACTAATACTTCGAGAAGCAGATTTTTAGCTCAAAACAAACTGCAGCTTTACAGAACTGATATTGGAAGAATTATCAGCCTTCTTTTCCCTTTAACCCACATCAACAATAATTAAAATGGCAATTTTGTTCACAATTGTGACTTCCCTATAGAAGATGGAGAGAAGAAAGATGTGGAATCAAAGGGAGAAAATATTGAGAAGATGAAGGAAGATGAGACAAGGCCGACGACAATTGCCATGCTCTTCGAACCTCCTCCACCACCAATCAAGTCCGACAGTCTGCCCACCATTTCTGTGACCCTAATGAGATCAAGGAGGATATGTGGTAGGTGTTACGACTGAGTTAAGGAGATCAATAGGCGATAGAGAAGGGTTAATCTAATTTCATACTCAGATTTAGAAAAATTTTCAAAATCTCATCTCAGCCTAAACTTGAAATGCAGTAATTCATTCAAACTTAGTCAAAATTTTAATAAACAGAGTTGATTTCTGTGCTTTGAATTAGTCACCAACCGCAAATATATGTGTATATAAATTTGAATATTGGAAGCCACAAACTATCTAATTGGAAATTATATCCCTGTTCAGATCTTCCTTGGTATGACAGGGAAGTAATGGGTTCCGAAGCTCAATACGTTCTCTATGATGATGAAGAAGCCACAAGTGAGACGATCTGCGAAAGAGGAGGTGGAGTTGATGTTGAAGAGGAGAAGGAGGAGGAGGAAGAGGGGTCAAGACGCAGAGACCTCCGAGGAACATTCGAAATCAAGAGGCTGAGTGATGAAAAGCTGGAATATGGAATGGAGCCTGAGAAGACGTGTTTGAGAGAATCCACACTGCCTCACTTCATTCTCAATTGTTCGTGTGAGTCAGAAGAAGAAGAAGAGAAAGAAGAGAAGGAGGTGCTCACCACCAATTCTCCACACCCTTCTATTGTCGATACTGAAGGTATGAGCTTTCGCAGTGTGTCTAATTCGTTAAGAATTAGTCATTGGCTAAAAGGATTGTTTGGGATTTCATGTGAATTGGTTTTGTATTTTTCCTCAACTAGTTGCTGCATCCAACACTTCTCCGCCAACCACACGTCGTCAATGGTTCAAGGGTTTGCGGAGTCGTCTTCGGCGTGTTTTCCTGTGTTGCAATGCAATCGAAGAGGACTAGATTCACCGATTCTCTATTTTATTGACTTTTCTGATTATCCTACAAATAGATATCTACAATGATTTTTCTCCTTACATGTTCTCTTCTAACTCGTCAATCGATTATAAAACTGAATATTATGTTACTTTATATTGATTAGTCTGCGTCAACCACATCCCATTTGCAAAGTGAATGGATGGAGCTTTTAGGAAATGCTTTCAGCTTTGGGTTCTTGATGGCAAACCTGGTTTTAACTTTGGAGTGGAATCTGTGTAAGTCGCTCTCTTAAAGGCTTATGTGCCAGGGTTTGGGTAATTATCTTAATCTGAATGAAATATTGGGTCCTCTAAATAAGGTATAATGTTGATTGGAAGTTATTGGGGCATAGAGAAATGAGGTAGCAACCAGGCGCGTCATGTTGAGAGAGGAAGGAGACAGTTGCTAACCCCAGAGTTTATTAATGCTAACCTCGAAGAAGGAACCAACCAATCAATGTGCTCTCCACTCAGGCCTCCTTCCCCCCCCCCATTTGAACTGCATTTATCTGGGTAGGAGACTCATGAGTACTACCTAAATGTGCTGAGATCAGAGGACAATGTGAAGTAACTCGCTTCTCACACATTCCTCATAACATCGGCGTTAAATGAGTCCATTTTCGGCATCAGGGTACGTTGTGAAGTGATGGGAAACAGGTCTACAATGTGTACTCATCTTCAATCGATTTCCACTTCTTCCCAGCTTATCAGTGGTGATGAGGGTGCGATGAGATGATTATGAATTGATACTGTTGGCAGTGATGTCAGGTGACGAAT